TTTTCAGTTGTTTCAGCAGGTTATGATGAATTGCTGCACAGGACTGATAAATAGTGCGTTTAGCTAATATGGTAATCTTATAGCTAACTGCACTGCTCATAGTGACATTTATCAAAATCGGTATTTTTCACGGTGATAAATATCAACTATAGTGATCCGGGACCCCATGAATCACAAAATACCCTTCATTTATTTGTTAACGGATGCAAATGTGGGTCGAAGGCACAACTTTGTGACTTTAAAAATTCCATTTAGGTGTTGGTTCAGACTTCCCTAATCAATAATTTTTCGTTATAAGTAAATAAAAGAATCGGTAGGTTGCCAATTTCCTCCATATAGGAGACTCGTGGTACTCACATTTACAGTTACTTTCCTTCTCAACATTTATGTCACCAGATGAAGTTTCGTACATTTATTCTTCTGCAATCATTTATCATTCCTTGAGATGTGCAGCCAATATTCAGCTAGTATATTTCCAGGATTTTGGGCAAGTGTAAAGATATACAGTGAAAAAGTCACTAATGTCTAGACGTCACACGTTTCTTAGATTCCCTTTGTCAGCCAATTAAGTAGCACTTATATTGAGCCCCGTCATATCAGTTTTAGTGCTGCACCATAAGTCAAAACTTAGCATCATCTATAGTATAACCAAGGGTGTCCATAATTGATGCAAGATTTGAACAAAAAGAACAATTTGACAGCTGAGAGGTTAGGATTGATAAAAATGAAGCGTTATACGATACAACAGCGTGTTTTCATTATTGAACAATATTTCCAAGATAATGAAAGCAGTTCGAAAATTATATAAATACACCGATCGTCCAAAAACAATCCGTTCAAATGTCCATGTCGAACAATGGTTCGCGTGAGAGTGCTGGTGAAGACCCAGAAACGTCAATTCGGCGTCGTGGACAAGAATTATAAATTTCAAGAAGCTCTCTACAGCTTATAGTCACAAAATTCTGTGTCTCCATGGCCGTTTGCCCTGTGAGTTATTCCATACATAACGCTATCCTAATTACTTTATGGTCCAATAAAAAAACAGTCTAAGAACATATAAGTTTTTGAATAAAATAAATAATAATGAATAAATTGTTATTTAAATCAAAACCTAATTTTGGGACACCCTTCATAACAAAACCCACATTCTGTTGTTTTATTTTCCAATGTTCTAGCGCAAACACTAGTTTCTCTAATCGCACGCGTTAGTACCGTGTTTTATGATATTTAGGACCCTTGTCAGAATATACTGCAGCCAAAATACGTCGAATTAATTTTAAAACTCCGTTTTTGATGAATATGGAACTGCAGATGTTTTGTTCAGTTCCTTTCAGAGTGGATAATCTGAGCAGTTCACCCAATCTACTGTTTGCGATATGCGTACGATGTATACTGTCCAACTAACAATTATCACTCATATTAGAGTTGCAAGAATGATTATACAGTATTCCTTAAACAGCATTGTATACTGTAAGAACATTGGCAAAACCCCCTTAGAACAGCTATACAAGCGGAATGGGCACACCTAATAGGACACTTCAGTCATTTAAGAGGTTCTATAGGGGCTGCAGGTAATAGTTATAAAACAAAAGTGTAAGCCTCTTGCAGCCGCTATAGGACATTTGCGTCAGTGCAAGATTCAGTTTTTGTCAACTATACAACTATTCTGTTTCGTGATTCTACTTTATTGCAACCAAACTATTTCTGATGTATTGTATAGACGAAGTGAAGAATATATAACTAACACATTACAGTCGTCTTGTTTACTTACATATCGGCCATTGTGAATTTCATGCACAGGTATATGATAACTTCTACACTGTGATATAGGGCTATTGAATTACTTGCGCAGCAAATTTTATTGTGATTATCGTGCAAATTAGTTACTCAATTTCTACGGGCTTCGTATTTGATTCATATTATTACACTAATTTTTATCACTTTATATCTGTATTTTCGAACTGAAACATAGTTATTTGATATTAAATAGAGGAATAAATCTTTGCCCAATATGGCGGGTGGTTGTGTACAATAATGGCATCGTCCATGTTGTCTTTAGGTTATTAGAATATTTTGGTATTGCCTGCAGGTGTTATACAACAATTTGACAAATGTCTGAAATGAAATACCGACACAGTCGAATGATTTACCCAGAATTTGTAGCAGATCCATAATCAAATCCAAGCGAATAACCAAAATTTGTCTGTTATGTATCGCGGTTATAGTATGGTTCAAGATGACAAACGGGTTGATGACGTCAGTTACTCGAATCGCTTGAACGCTTTGGTTTTAACCGCGGTTTTGTTGCAAGTTGTTTATTTTAGAGAAGCTCGTATATAATTTCTGATTATTTTTATTATCACTTAATAATCGGTATTTTTTCGTCTACAACAGTGTATGGAAAGATTAAAAAAGAAACCTTTCATAATATTAATGGGAAAAATCTTTTTTTTTCAGAAAAAAAAAATGTTTAATGATGGAGCCATGACTTTGTAGCGATGATAACTTTCAATTCTCTAAACTTTACCGCATGTCAAAGAAAACATTTATTGATTTAGCAGAAATGGTAGGAAAAAGCGATGAAAAAAAGATATTAGCTGAACCACATACAGGTGGACATCATCCAGTGAGTTTATATCGCCAAATTTTAATGTTCATGTGGTATATGGCTACACAGGATACTTTGTTAAGCATAGGAACTAGATTTAAAGTTTCCCCAACAACAGTAATGATTATAAGGTGCCCTACTTTTTGCAAAAACTGAAGTTGGCCTGTATCAAGTTTCCCAAAAATGAAGCTGAAGTACAATAAAAATATCCAATACCTGGCAAAATTCTAACTTGTCACTTGTCAAATAATAACCAGAAATATAAAACTACTCCTGAGTTGGGTAAATACCACAATTTTGCGGTGATAACTATGACATGTAACAGCTGATTCATGACGTCACGGATCTTATAACCAAACTGATAAGCACACTCGCTTGAACGGATCGGTAAATACCAATCCAAAATGGTAAATACCATTTTCATTTGGTTATCCGCTTGAATTTGATTTGTATCTTCTGTTTGAACAGTTGATAAAACCTTTTGATATGCATGCGTTGTTTGTCTTAAAACATTGGTTATGGCATTTCAACAAAAATATGACAGCAGAAAGTTAGGTTATGGTGAAGTTGTTTACCAACATATTTAGCATATGTACAGCCTTTAACAGTTACTAAACAACAGTTGTATAAGTGATGCCGTTGGGAGAAATTTGTTGGCTAAAGTAGTAAATTGCACAGCAAAACAACAAGGCTCGGGTTTGTTTTATAAACGTTACCATGAATGCCACAACACAACCATTTTGGCTAACTTGCAAACATGCCGTATAAAATAGTTGTATAAACGTTTATGCAACAGTTAAAAATTTGCCCTATAAGGTGTTGTATAACTATGCTATAAGAATATTTTAAACACCTCATTTTGGAGCAAATATGTTGCAGAAAGCAAATTTGAAGTCCACACAACATTAAGCCAGCATTTTCGTGTTCAGGCAACAACAATAGATACCTTTTATGGCTGAACGGTTCTTTTACCACAAGCTCATACCACTACTTTGTTAGTTGGGTGTTCTCAGCTCTCAGTATTGAGCTATTTTCGACATATTCGCTCTAGACCCAAAACTTCCCCGCATGGGTACCACGTAAAAAACCTATAAAACGTCAAAAAAAGAAACCTATAAGTTGTCAACTTGCAGACTAGGTAGTTTTTAGGACGCAAACAGTCATTCCACGTTTGCTCACTAGGATTGTTGTGAACGTCCATCTAAGGAGGAATCAGTCAACTAAACTACGCATTATTGGTTGCAGAGTTCTGTGAGGCTGAGTGATCCGGGTCTGTAGTTTTTATCTCTGAGAAGAAAGTTGGTTGAATAGCAAGATCGCATCTGGATGATTGTGTATCATCACTGCGCCCGCGTTGTGTGTAATTACTGTTAGCATGTATATGGCTTGTATTTCGACAGTGTACAGTGAATATAATTATTTGTTATCTCTCTCATTTTTGAGATTCAGCAAATTTGTATAGATATGTAATTATTTTCAGAATGGATAAGAAAAAGTGGATGCGCAACTAATTTCTAGCTTTGAATCTCAATTAAGTGTATTTGAGACAAGAACTCAACGTAATTATCATCAACACATACAACTTACAGTTTAGACCTCCGGTAATCCCATCAAAGATTGATAACACGTCTTATGACGTTTATGCAACACGTACAACCAAGTGCTAAGTTAACATCTTGTAGAATAACCTACGTAATGTAAAAAAAAATCGCCATAATGTCACTTTTCAAGGTACGTGATACCCGTGCCGTTTGTGCCTTTCATCTCACTCGAATGCCCAAAGTTATATCTATGACCTATATTTTTTTTCTAAAATTAAACGTACCATCAAAAAAACTGGTTATGAACCTTTGCGTTAAAAATGAACATATCAGCTTATCACTACTAAGCATATAAAGCTAATATTCTATTTGGATGCTGTTTTCTTTGAGTAATACACAAAGCTTTATTTATTGATTTCGTTTAAATTCAATACACTTCTTCGTCCGCCAAAAACAGTCCTTAAACCAGCTCTGCCAAGTTCCACCCGGGAGTGCGGCACACTCGTTGTCCCAAGCCCTCAGAAGGAGCTCGTCGCTAGAAACCAGCTTTCTTCTTAACAGATCGGGATTTTCTGACAGCTACAGGTGTGTCCTGATCATCAAAGACCCAAACTTCGTTTTGAGCCTTGCTCGGCACATGGTAATTATAGAGCCAAGTCTCGTAACCTGTCAAATTGCTGTTCACATACTGAGATTGTCCCTTATAAAATATTTTCAGCATCTTTCGGCATCAAATCGTACTCTTCTGTACTTCCGTCAAACTAAGCGGTACCCAGAGATAACATAGTTTCCTTACGTGTTGAACGAATTGCTGGTGCATGAAGGTGTAAGGCTGTAAGGTCTCCTCTAACTATCTATTGGTGTGTCACTCTCCGGTCTTCGTCAAGCATTTTCCTTACAGCAGTAATGTTTTCCTCTGTTACTGACGTTCGCGGCCGTTCTTCCCTCTCCGCGTCCTCCAGAGTGAAATTGCCCTTTTGGAATTCTCTCTACCACCTGAATATAGTCGTACGATGAGCACAATCATTCTTTAATACAAGAGTCATTTCTTCTAAGCACTGGTCTATGCTTAAACCACGCATATGGTTATACCGTAAAACTGCCCTTACTGCGTGACCACGATGCCATAGTCCGCACTTTACACCGTAAATACGAATGAACAACTATATTAACAGACGTGCTGCTGGCGACTACTATGCACTCATGGACATGTCTCAAAGTGGTGTAAAATGCAGATTCTTACGTCCGTTATTTTAAGTCATATTGCAAAACCATTATAGTACCCTTTGTACTTGTAACAAGTTAGTGTTAAATAAATGTCGAGTGTTGGGGGCTATGCTTAGCTGAAAATATCTAAAATGCTCTTTGCTTATACCAAAGATTTATACTTCACGCAAATCTGTCTCGAGACAAGCATCTGGGATAGTTCTAGACATCCATTGTACCACAATTACGTATAGCGAACTCTGATGAATTCTTCTAAAGCGAATATTTAAATGTGGCCATTCATTTTTGGATACCTTAAGCGTTTCTTTAACGTATCATATCGGTCACCACTGACGCCCCGTCCGTCAGATTTTAAGGATAAACATTTAGTTTTCTTTGAAGTCTGCAGAATATCATCAAAAAAAACATAATGTGATCTTGCAGTCTTATTTCCACACACTGCATCTGTTATCATACCCCTATATTGAATTTTATTTTAGAATTCATTGGCCGTCATATAACAGCGACTGACGTTAGCAGAGACGCAGAAAATGTATAGCTGTCACGATTACAATCGCCTATCCTTGTTAAATATGGCATTTGTTTCCATGAACTCGTCCGAACAACGTGAACAATTTTACAAAACCGGTACATTTTCTACCGTAAAGATGATATACGTTTATTTTATATAGTTTTTTCAATTAAACTTTACCGGATCCTAATCTTAGACCTGGCTTTCTTCCACTGTAGAGTTAATTACTTTATAGACTGTAAAATCTTTAGATGTAATATTTTAGCGATACGTGGTCGTAAATTCCGCACGCGTTAGATTCGCAGTTAGTTCAAATATTTTCTGCGTATTTCTCATAACATGGGTTATTGATTTTACTGAGGATTTTACCTTGAAGTCGTTTTTAACGATGGGAATACGCTATCAACACTTGGTTCAAAATTTATATTTTCAGTCAGTTATCACGCCATGCAAGAGGAGAAACGACAGCTAGCAAGCTAGTTTTTACTTCCCTCGCCACTGGCCTAAAATTTGAATATTACGTTTATCACGACGTATATCAGGAAATACATTGCCACTCATTTCTGTGGATCTGTCGGTCCGTTTTTCTGTCAGTCTGTGTGTCGGGCAATCTTTGGTTCGTCTATATCTATAAGCTCAATTTCTGATAAAATTTTCACACAAGAAATCGGTCCTGTGGCAGAGGCTGAAAACTAAAAGATAAAAAATTCTCAAACTTTATTATTGGATGTCTCAGAGACAAAAAAAAACACTTGTGGGAGTTAAGAACTGGCTGTTGGGGGCTGTAGGGGATGGGAGTGGCTATGTGTCATTTCTTTCGTGTCAGTTTCTTTATATGCTTGTGGATGGCTATATCTATTATGGCGTTAATTTGTTTATATGCTTCAAACACCAGTAATTCTGTTAGAGATATATGCCCATAAGTCCAAATGATGGAGGAATATTTTGGTGCCGCAATTGACTAGCGACTAGTGCGATTAGTCATAGCAACGTTGCCAGATGGTGGGCACTGTCGGTAGGGCAGGGGAGAAATTTCTAGATCGCAACAATGTCAAATAGGTGGGGACTAAGTACTAATTGTATGGGCATGTTTGACTGACTTGATCCGTTTTCTTGTTATACATGATCGCAACTCATTTTTTGTCATAGGGACTAAGTTATTCCGAACACAATCCTGTATGAATTGATAACACGGTTGCTTAGTAAGTGCAGAGTCAACCCATTTACCGCCGTTTTTGTTGCACGTATATGCTGATCGAGTATTCTGTGATACAAAGATATAAAACCATTAGAGATCATACACTAAACTATTTTAAAAGTAATATATAATAAACCATTGCGTTACCCAACTATAGAACTTTTCCAGGAAATAAAATTCTTTGACATACGGCAGCAGTATTTCTATCGAATAATACTATCTCAATATAAAAATAGAAATAACAAAAAATTATTCACTCAACACAAATATAAGACACGTAACAGAAACATTATGGAAGTACCAAAACCGGACAAAAATGTAATGCAAAGATCCTTTGTATTTCTTGGTCCCAGATCTTATAATATGATACCGCAGGATTTTAAGCAACTTCAAAGTAAAGCTGAAAGACTGGATCAAAGGGTTTCCAACAGCAAGAGTGCATCAATATGATGATGAAAAAAATACTTACTATATAAATGACATGTAAGGATGAATAACTTCATTATTTATATCTTTTGGCTATAACCAGGATTAAAACTCATAATGAGTGTCCCAAAAGCTCAATCTCTCAATAGCCTTGAGAGCCGCGGTGCATGCTGCTTGGATCCCCTCTGTCGTCTCAAAATGCTTGCCCCTTTCATCGGCCTTTTCAAGCGAGGAAACAAAAAAAAGTCCGGGGGGGGGGGCACATCTGGGCTGTAGGGCGGCTGCGGAAGCGTTGAGATGCCTGCCTCGGTCAGGTAGCTGTTCACAAGAAAGGCGGTGTGAGCCGGGGCGTTGTCGTGGTGTAACTTCCAGTCGGCTGCGATGTGTTGTCGGACCCGACTGACCCTTCGTTTGAGTCTCCTGAGCACTTCCACGTAAAACTTGGCGTTGACGGTTTGTCCAGTAGGAACAAATTCATGGTGGACGATGCCTTTCATGTCAAAAAAGACAATGAGCATCGTTTTCACTTTGGATTTGCTCATTCTTCACTTTTTTGGGCGAGGAGACGCCGTCGTGTGCCACTCGGAAGATTGTCTATTTGTCTCGGGATCATACTCAAAGATCCACGACTCGTCACCTGTTATTACGTTATTCAAAAATTGGGGGTCACTTTCACACATATTCAAATTTTCTTGGCACACTTCCACTAGCCGCAATTTCTGGTCGTCAGTGGAGCACTTTAGGGACCATCTTCGCGCACACCTTGCGCATGTTCAAATGCTGTGTCTCAATGTCAAATGCTGTGTCACAATGTCATGAACCACAGATTTTGGTAAATTTAACATCTGGGCAATTAAACGAATACTTAGTCGACGGTCTGAGTTCAAAACTTTGCGCACACGAGTCATATTATCGGTGTTTGTCGAAGTCAAAGGTCTTCCGGCACGGTCTTCATCAGCGACCTCTTCCTGGCCCTCCAAAAAGGCCTGGTGCCACCGAAACACACCACTTTTGGCTAAAGCATCACCTGGGTAACCCTGCTTGATCATATTAAACCTCTCTGTCGCAGATTTACCGAATTTCACACAGAATTTAATCGGAGACAACTGACCAGCCGCTCATTCGTTAGCTAGGAACGCCCTCTACCGAATCCAGTCGGTGCGCGCACGCTCCGAAGTACAGTCATGGCGGAAGAAAATGAGTCCTATTAATTCACGGACAAACCCTGTATACTTATTATATATCAAACTTGTATGGATGTATATATACTGTTGTAACAGTGATTAGGCAAATGATTAGACTTTATACATAATAGAAAATGTTTATTTTTTTTGCTTATTATTAGGCTATTGATTTAAACTCACGCACAAGGTGTGTACGTTCTGTGAGCGCTGGTATATTCATTTGCTAACATATTTAGTATTTTCCTACTGTGTAAACTGGCAAATTAATATTATTATTATTCACTATATGGATTTTATTTTTCTCCGTAGCTCTCTTGATGCTGGTCCGAGTTAAGTAGGTTGACTTGTCACCCCCCTAGCACATCTCATGCGTTGATAAATCTAAGTAAAATAGGCATACCTCACTTCAAAGCTTTTGGGCTTTCTATCTGTAAGTGCGGCAATGTCTATCTAAAGTTGTCAGAAAGCAGAAAAACATCGAAGTGCTACGTTACAAGTTTTATAAATGCTCACCATGAATTTTCTGTGTAGATGCCCAAAAACGATTAGGCCCTTGAAAAACATAGAAAAACGAGAATTGGCAGGATTTTGAAACGTATCTTTTATCGATCATAATGCCCCCTTCACTGGGCTCATTATCAACATCTGCAAATGTCATCAAAATTTGCTAGGTAATATTCGGGTTACTGTATTGCCAGGCATTAACGTCATCTGGGTATTACATGACTTTAAAATTCTTCGCGATTGCAAGGCTTACTCACCAATTATCGCTGGAAGTAAACACGTCTTATCTGAACTATGTGTAGAGCTATAATGGTAGAAGGTACTATCTAGCTTTAAACATGTAACCCAGATTCTCCCCAACTGCTGCAACACCTATTCATTGTCAGGTCATGTCTCTCTTCGCTAGTCTGAAGGAAAATGGTTTCCTGGCAGGGATCGGTCAGTGCCTTTTATTTGTGCATCACTGAGTCTCAGGAGTGGAAACCACTAGTCCTTTTCGATAGTTTATGAGAGATGAGCTTACCAATATGAATGCCCGTTTGAAAGTTTTGTCAACAACCTGATTTGATATGGGCATTTCAAAATGACCTTAAGTACTGGCAACAGTACTTTCGAATACAAACAACCAAAGTGAAGTATTATAAAACTACATTATGCTTAGTTGCTGAGGACGATATGCAACGGGTGATATCAGAGTAGTATGTCGTTCATTATGGGCCTTTAACGGATTACCCACCATAAGACTCTACAACAGTGAAAAGTGCATAAGCATTAATTACATTGCCATAAATGTAAAGGCTGTGCCCGATTCTAATGAATATCAGATGCCTTTATCAATATGTTATCACTACTGTTAAACAATTCGAGCATACCATCTGCTAATGGCAGTACTGATTAGATACCTCTCAAATAGCCGCGTGTTCCGTCTACTGTCCTCCATCAAAAAATGGACAGATTGAGACAGGCAGCACCGAGCCAGTGTTGCCATTTATTGTAATTCACACTCCATTTTCATGCTTCACTTATTATACACTCATTCCCATTGAACAGTCCACAACTGTTAGCTAAATTGGCTCCTTTGTGTTCT